AAAATAAAATAATAATAAAATAAAAATAGTAAACGAAATGTTAAAAAAACCCACGCAGTTAACGCTACATGGCGAGTTGAGTAAGGTATAGATGCTTAGCTTGTAGTTTGCTCCTTAGGTCTCAATGCTAAATTGGTGTATACATATATTTGCTTATGCAATAAGATACAGTGTGTCACGCAAAAAAAAAAAAAAAAAAAAAAAACATACATACAACACACAAGAAAAAATGAACCACGCAAAGCATACACATACGTATTCTCCGGATTTTCATTAAAACACGATGAAAAAAAAACTTAAATCCCCCCGCGATTAACTGGCAAACAAGACATACTCGTACACACCCCTCCCCCCAACCTAGTAAACCCAACCAATACCCAATGCATAAACTCACCCACCCGCATGTCCACGATAATAGCTACACAAGAACCACACCATCCCTATTAGCACCCAATGAATGCGCATGCCAATTATACACAGACAACTATAAGAAGCAACCTTCCGTCCCCCCCAAAAATCTGCCCTATATCGTTGCCCTCCTACAATTATAATTGCAGATGATGCATGACTCTGAATAACCAAGCTACCCCTTGGTGCTTCTATGGCAAACGGTATCATCAATATCATCTCGGCATGTTGATCCTAGTAAAGTAACAAAAAAAACACGAAATGACTTCATCACCCATCGGCACCACTTATCCAAATCAGCGTAAGACAGTGGATTGTAAAAAAACAGACCACCACGAATGGCGGATTCCCGATCCAAACACATAAGACGACCTGACTCCTGAAACCCTCAGCTCGGACACACCCCACGGACGCATGACCCAATCATTAAAATCAAATACTCCTACGCCCGCTATAATACCAACAACACATCACCACAACCTATACAATGAACCATAACTAGGGAATTAATCCTGACTTTCCCTACTTCTCAAAATGTTCGCACTCCACTCACTCACCACCAAAAAGTAAAAACTATCGACCCTGCCCAAGATAGCTCATATGACCTACATATCTACATGTAGCTCCCCATGTAGATAAGGACGCCCAACCAATGGAGCATCCAGGATCGCCTCCCACTCCGCAATCCCCGCCATACGACCATCATGCTCTAATGCTATGGCCGACAACAGCAAACCCTCTCTATAATATCCTCCCCACGGCCTGAATAACTGTCAGGCACATCCTCGTGCAGCTTCGTCACAAAAACGGCCGCATCTCGTAAATCATCACCCACGTACCCGAAACCCAGCTGTAAGCGCATAACCAGCACCCCATTTACATCAACCTCATATTCGTGATAACCATACTGGGTATCAGCTGCCTTTGTGCCACAAACCCAAAATCGCGATCCGGGCAAAAATCTCGATGCTCGTACATTTCATAAATCAAAATGGTTTGCCCTGCCCACGACACACAACCCTCACTGCCATCTTGGCAAGAAACCACCCTCACGTTTTTTAACCCCCCTCCCTGCTTCCTTCTGCGCCCCCTTCCTCCCTCCCTCCCCCTCTCTCTTCCCCCTCTCTCTCTCCCCTTTCCTCTCTTATTGTTCTCTCTCCCCCTCCCCCTCCCCCGCAAGCTCTACCTCCCTCACCACGATCTCTCGCACTTTTCCTCACCCCCCCGCTCTCTCT